CTCGATACATTCCACATACTGACCGCATACTCTATGTTTTATCATTTCATGATACAGGTTCTGATCTTCAGACTCAACCCCGCCACTAGCCAGCTTTCGGAGTTAGCATTAGTCTCTGTTGGTGAGTCCTTATCTGTCAAGGGCCTCTCTTCGACTCAGTTATATTGGAATATTTTCAGTTTCATACTTAGAGAGTTAGTTGAGGTCTTGTCCCATCAACTCATCAAACTTAGAGGCTTTTTAGATAATAGATTGTATTCAGCTTTAGACTCATGTTGTATATTTTTTGATTATATGTTATGCTTAGACTTCTTCTTTGCTTATTATGTTAAGTCTTCCACTTGTTTGATTGAGTTAGATGTACGTTCATGCCATGGGTCAACTTGGAGTCTCTCGGGGCTCCTTGTCCCGTGTCTTGATTCGGGCCTATGTTCGGGTCGTGACAAACTTGGTATCAGAGCAATAGGTTTGAAGTTTCCTAGGGTTTTTGAAAGCCATGTCAAGTAGAGTCTTTCTCATGGGTGTGAAGCGCGCCACATTTATGACGAAGAGGCTACGAGATGTTTAGGAAATGTTCCCTTCTTTCATTATCTATGTTGTGCGATGAAATGTATCCTATCCTTCTAATTCTTGCTATTCGCGATTGCAGAATCATGGCTCCCTGCAGAGTTAACGGTAGAAGGAATGGAAATGGAAATGGACACGAGGATGGCAGTGGGGTCGGGCACCAACAAGCCCCCCAGTACAGGAGCACCATGCACCGGAGCCGGTTGCCCATGCTGAGTTCAGGGCAGCTATTCAGATGTTAGCGCAGGCCTTGTGCACCTCAATCTCTTTTCCAGAGATCTTGTGACCTAGCACTATTCCTTCCTTGACCATAAAATAATATTTTTCCCAATTTAGGACCAGATTAGTTTCTTCATATCTGTTCAACACTTTGACCAAGTGTTTGAGGCAAGATTTCAATAAGTCACCCACAACTGAGAAATCATCCATGAATACCTCGATGGTGTCCCCCACGATATCTGAGAATATCGACATCATTCAGTGCTAGAATATGGTCGGTGCATTGCACAATCCAAAAGGCATTCTCCTGAAAGCAAATATTCCATATGGGCGGGTGAAGGTAGTCTTCTCTTGATCTTCCGGGGCTATAGTGATCTGATTGTACCCCGAGTAGCCATCACGAAAATAGTACCAGCCTCTACCTGCTAACTAGTCAAGCATCTGATCCATAGTAGTAAGTATTCCCGCCTGTCACGTGGGTGACCCGGGTTTGATCCCCGGCAACGACGCCACTTTTTGATAACACTCAAACTCACACAACCTGGAAAAGTATGAAGCGTACATTGTTAATAAGGAATCCAACAAAGAGGTTAGGGGAATAAGGTAAGATCTAGACTAATTCCAGTACTTAAACTTGTTGATAAGTTATCTCCAAATTGGGGGGTTTCAAAGAAAAACAATATTAAAACAAGATCGTAATTGGGGTTGTTATCAAGGTTTGCAAATAACTAGGGTAAGTGTTCCTCGTGGGTTCATAACTACTTCGAGTATACAAACGTAATCAATCCCAATGCTTACTTGTAGAACTGATAACTAGGGTTCATCCAAATAACTGGTTCATCCCTATTGGATGAATATACTCAATCATCAGGTCATGTCTCATGAGCGATTTCTTTTAACCATTACCAATATGTTGAAAATTAACTTTCCTGCGACCATAGCTCAAGTATTACAATGATCATAAAAATCAAGGCTTTGTTGTAATTCTCTTTTCCTAATCTCTACTTTTCTAAGTTCAAGAAAGTAAAGAACTCGGGTAAGTCCTAACGTTGTGCACCGTTAAGAAATGTTTAAAGATGAAGAGAATACAATACAAGCATTTAGCATTAGTTTTGAATCACTTTTGTGTAACCCTATTTCATTAATCTACCATGGTTCCCACAACCCTAGTTGTGGAGGTTTTAGCCTCGCATGATTGTAAGATTACAATTAGTATTCATAGTCAAACACATAATTAAATACTTACAACAATTATTGGAAGAAAACCTGCTTTTAATATCAATGAACAAACTCAAGAACAATTGATAAAATCAAGTGTTGATCCTAAAAATTTCTCTCTAAAACTTGATAATAATTCACAAATTAAACTTTTCACACGTCTACTACCTTCTCTCTCTATTCTCTTACTAAAATAAAAACATAAAAGGTATTTATACATACATCAAAACCTTTTCCTAAGCTAATAGGGAATTTTCCATATCTGGCGCCGGCTTGACCCAGGACTGATCCTACAACCCATAACAGGATTGTACGGGTCGTACCTGCCTCTCGTACATCCCTTGGCTGATGCAGCTTTGACTAAGTGTTGGCAGCTTGTGTGACTGGTACCATAGTCTTACGAGTCGTACAATCCATTTATGGCTTGGCCTTAAGAACGTTGACATCTTCTGAAGTTTTCTATGAGTGTTGTGGTACGCCTCATACCTTCCTCCTATGACTCGTACTTGTTTATTGCATCTGGAGTTCTGCCATGTCTTTAAGAATCACTGAAGCTCCCCATGGCTCATGGTATGGGTCGTAAGTACTTGTTATGATCCGTGGTTTCCACTTGTACCAAGAGACTTCCATGTGCAATTTTCTCTGAAGATTTCCACGACTCTAGTTACGGCTCGCACCATCTTGTTACGGCTCGTATTGAGAGATGTACTTGGCCTTCACCTTATTCTAGCCTTCCGATTTTTTGCATGAGTCTCAGTACGACTCGTACAAGTAAGGTACGGCTCATAATGAGATTTGTACTTGGCTTGTTTTTTGCACTTTTATGCATCTTTTGCACATTTTTTCTCAAAAACCTATTTTCCCTGAAAACAAAGTAAAAGCATCTTATATTTATATAAACATACCTAAGTCCATGCTATTTTCTCAATTTCAAATGTCGAAAGTGTTGTAAACTCATAGCATATCATCACGCTAAATTCACTCAAACTTTAAGTGTTTATTTTTTGCCCTCTTCATTAGTTTTGGACCGACTATCCTCGGTTAGAGCTCAAGTCAATTAAGTGAGGATTGGTAGCACCAAATTTCTATTTTTATTATCTTTGCCTAACTTCAACCTCTTTGGTCAAGCAAGTTGATAATACATGCAATTTTTAATGTTTGCAACCACTAAAAGCAAATTAAAATGAAAAAATAAGACTATGGATTATATTCACCGTTCAAGAATCACTATTTGATTTTACCTACTTACATTAATCCATCATGATTTCCACAACCCTAGCTAATTAGTTTAGCTACTCATACTTGTTGAAACAATAACAAGATCTATGTATATAAGAAGTCATAATGATTACTTAGAATATATGAAATTGTTTGACAAGTCTTGAAAAGATAAATAGAATCACAAGAACTTTATTTTTTTCTCTCAACAATGATATGAAATATTATGCTCCCCAACTTTTAATACTCTTCTAACTATGCATCCCTTCTGCGTGAATCAATGATAGAAACATCCAAAGAGGTATTAATAATAGTCGGCTTAGTTTTCCTCTCTCCTTCTTTGACTAGGACTTGACTTTGCAAAAGCTACATCGGATGACCTCCCCTGCGATATCTGCTCCTGAATGAGGTAATACTGCTCCACGGTGCGAGGCTTCTTGCGGAGTTTTAGCTGTGCGGCGCGGAGCTTGGTTGTGGTGCTAAGGCATTGTGGTCCTCCCTTGAAGTTTGGTGATAGGTGCGAAGTAGAGCTCATTGCTTAGGCATGGCTCCATGAAGCCAACCTTTTATTTGCTCCGAAACTTGTCCCTTTTTACTCCCAGATCATCAACACTTGATTCTCATGGTCAAATGATCCAAATCTTCTCACTTTTCAACCTACAAACATATAATCATGTGTGTTAGCTCTTTTTCACAAATATCAAACCAAACCAAGGCAATAACACAATATTTATTCTCAAAATATAGCTAAGTATGGGTAAAATATGGTAATTAAGTTTGTAATTATGCCCAACATCACCACCCCACACTTAAACTATTGTTCTTCCTCGAATAATCTACTACTTCCTACTATAAATTCAAAAACAAAATTTACTTCACGAACATGTCAAAAATCCACTCAATACGCATATAAAATCATCACATTCAAAGGTCATATGCCGAAACCACTTAGCCTTTATAAATAACTCAACAATGTAGAGTTGGGACAACATGCACATGTATAATCTAGCAATCAAAAGTGCACCAATATCTTACCATTATGTGCCCTCACCATTTAGAGAGATGCCCATTCACTCACAGCATGCATCACATAGTTAATTCGGGAGAAAAAATTATAGAAATATCACTTACCCTCTCAAATAACTTCACATGCATGCAAATTAATGAACCATAGGCTTGCCCTTAGTATAAATGCTCCACTAATATAAGGCATATAATCTAGAATCAATTAAGGCTTTAACTAATTATAATGTAGGCGATGGGACTGGTAGAGATTATTTGGCCAGAATAGTGACTAACCACCCTAAGCACTTTAATACTTCACAACTTTTTTTGATTTCAACACAATCCTTGATTTAGTAATTTACTTCTTATGCCTCCCCTTTATTAATTTTTTTGCAACTTGGGTGACTAATAGGGAATTCTTGATATATTTACTTTTAAGCTAACTTTTTCTTCTCTTTTTTTTCCTTTTGCTTTCCATTATTTTCGTTCATTTTTTTTAAAATAAAATTTTCTTTTCTTACCCTGCTAATGTCACTTACTTAGTTCTCATATTTTTCACCTTTTACCTTTTCTTCCAACTTCCACACTTTAGTCTTCCCTTTTTTTCACTTGTGCTCCTTTCATTATCAATGTTTTTCAATTTAAAGTGTCTTAGGAGTCATTTGGATCAAACAAAGTTCAATAGAACAAAAGGGATTTAGTTTTTAATATGGTTATCAAGAGAATAGGCTCAGGCTCAAAATGGCTAACTAAGACGATGACATTAGAGCAGGTAAAAGTAGGACAAAAATAAGCTACCAAAAAAATGCTTATATCACTTTCTAGATTCATATCTTCGTTTCGCTTAGCAGACATACCGGGCAAGTTCTAGACATCATTATGCAAGTATGGAATATATGCAAAAAAATCTCAGACGCACATGGCACAAATGATGCAATAATGGTAATCAAGATTACATAAATACATATATCCATGTTGAATGTCTCACATTATTATGCCCATTTTTCAAACACGTGTTAATTCCATGAGCGTAAGTGTCTCTACCTTTTTATGCATCTTTCTTGAGTGAACTATTATGAAGTCTTTATGTTTTCCTGAGTGAAGCACCTAGAATTCGGAAGATTTCAAGTTCTTTTTCTCCTACCAATGACTAATTTTCCCTTAGTAAATTCATCATCCATCGATCACTGGAGAAAGTCAAGACTATGACTAACTGACTCAATCCTTAAAAAAACTAGTTAGTTCTAAAGGACCATCCACCGGAAAAGAGCCGAAAATAAGAATTGTAGAAATCCAAATAAAAACATTCCAAACATTTCAAACTAATACAACAGTAACACAAGTCATAGTATATAATAAATCACAAAAAAGGACCATACTAAGTTATAACACTTTTAACAAACATGGAAATTAACTACCCCACCCCACACTTAAGTCGTAGCACTGTCCCTAGTGCTTTATACAGTAAAGTACAAGTAAAGGGTGAAAGAATTATGCAATACACAAAAAAGGGATCCAAGAAAGGAAGCTCGAAGTTCTACAAGGCCTCTTCATAAAAAAAGAGGTTCTTGATTGCATATGGGAGACTTCCAAGGGATTCCACATATGGATCATATCTTGGGAAGAAGAAGATGGACAAAAGAAGGAAGAAGGTGGCTAGAGTTGTAATTTGGCAAATCTTGGTTTCAATGAAAAGGAAGACCATCCAAATAAGGCCCTTATTAATTAAGCGCGTGTTTGAATAGCCTTTTCTTTTTCTTGACTTAGTATCAATAGTTGTTTGTTTGACTTAAGTAGGAGATTTTCATGATGTTGAACTAAAGAATATTTTCAGTGTAGTGAATTACCTAGCTTTGAGTTGTTCTTGTGTAGAGATAAGGGTTGCAATAGTAGGTCATCTCCCTTAAGGTCTTTCTAGAGCTAGGTGCTTCTTGATTTGTGAATTCGAGGTCCTTGTACCTTCATAAGGATTGGTAATTTCAATCACATTGTGTCTAGTTAGTTATCTTTGTTTAATTTCTTATATCAAAGAATGAACTTCCTAGTCCTACTCCTTGTCATCTGTGGA